GAGAGAGAGAGAGACGAAAAGGCATCCTGCACGAAGAAAATATTTATAAATAAAATGTAAATAAGCGAAAAGTTAAGAGCCACTTATTGAAAATTGTAGGGTGACATGCGTGCGCGCGGTGTGTGTGTGTGTGTGTGTGTGTGTGTGTGTGTGCGACCAATTTCCTTGATCATTTATGATACATTTTAATTTACAAACATATATATATCAATTACATGTATACATTAACGATGTGTATATTTACGAAATGCGATTAAATTATGTGTAATTTGTAAACAATTTATATAGAGAAAAATAATTTTTTCAAAGTAATATAAAATGTTCATATTTGATTTTGATTCCGTGTGGAAAAGTTAATCTTTTTTTTCACATTCCCTGTCTTAAATTAAGTCAATAAAGATTTAGCGATATTATCAGTTAAAAATTATTAATCGCTTCCTTAATTCGTGTTGTTTACGCTCGCTAATAACAACGATTATGCATCATTTTTCAATAAAATTTAGCGTAAACTATGATACGTCATGAATCACCTGCCGGCGATTCGTACATAAATTCGTTTCGGTCGAAATATCATGGCGAAACATATTATACACACACACACACACACACACACACATACACACACACACGCGCGCGCGCGCGCTAGATATATATATATATATACATATATATATCTAGCTTATTGACAAACCGATTCATTCAACCAACTCAGCTTCGCATTGACGCGAATGAGACTAATCTATCATTACATCAGCATTATCAGTATCGTCTCATGATGATCGAGAAGCGATCCTTTCCTTTAACAAATATCTCGTATATCGCTGCATTCATAGTCGCGAATTATCGATTTTATTCGCGACAGTGAAAAATAAGTATTCGTTGCAAACGAGTGTCCAGTTATCTGGCGCATTAGATATATTTTCGCAATTTATATGAATATTTCTTACAGATGATATACCGTGTGTAGTTATAAGCGACAAGAACTCGATACTCGAATTACGAGTTTATCGCTCGTCCTTATGAAATAGCGTCGCGTAAATGAAGGAAAGAAAATGAGTAACAGCGCGCACGATTCGACCACTTCATGTATTCTCTCGCATTTAGTCTAACATCTAATCAGTGATCTTCTTATGTATTTGTAAAACGCAACAACGCAGATACACAAATAAACGCAAGCAGACGCAAGTAGACGCGAGTAGATACGAGTAGACGCGAGTAGACGCGAGCAGACGCGAGTAGACGCGAGTAAACGCAAGCTTGGCAAGAGACAGACGTAAGAAGGAAGTAATGGCCATAATGGCATCGCGTGATAACAGGAGGGGATGCGGAATCATGGACGATCACAGATGAGGCCGCGGCGCGGCGTAGCGAAGAGTAAAAAGCGAGAAACAGGATAGAGCCGGGAGTAGGTTAGGGGAAGGTAGGGGAGGGTGCCAGCACGCAACATTACGGCCCTGGCTTAGACCCATTCACAGAATGAACGAACCGCTTGCCGCTTGCGTTTCGTTCGTGTAGTCACTCAGTAGTGTCATGGAGGTAACATGGCCGAGGAGACGCGCCTAGTTCGCGTTGAAGAGAGGCTAAGGATCAAAATCGGTAGGAAGTTGCGCGACGGCGGTACCACGCGAGTGATTCGTGAGCGTGATGAGTGGGACTCGCGTTGTCGCCGCGACGATATTCTCCGGGAAGTGATCGAGATCGCGAGCCGTTTATCTCGCGCCGCGCGCGCTCGGGATGTCACCTAATTTGACTCCCACGGCTATATCCACTTTTTCAATCTTTGCTGTCTTT